GAAACGTGGTCTCGCTATAAAAAAAAAACGCATTTCACATGCGTAACTAACGTAGTATTCTTTATTTCAAGTGGGATAATTATGTCACCAATGTAGCTGTTCTCAGGCATGCTAAGATGCCTTTTAAAATTAAAGAGCCTTCCCGCATCAAGTGACGCATAGGCGGCGCCCATCTCTGTTTTTTAATTGCCACGGGCCACACAGCAGTGCTATCACTACAGCAGGGGGCTAGTCCGCTGGTAGTGGTTTGTGTTTAACTCCCATACTGTTTCCTACAATGCTAAGTGCTAAGCAGAGAGTACATACTTGGTATCTTTGATATGACTCGGCCGGGGATCTATCTCACGGCCTACCGAATGCAAGGCGACCACTCCCCACCCGGCTATTGCACCGGTAACATTCCTAGTATGTATAAACACCAGAAACAGCGTCGACTTAGATGGCTTTGGGCCCTTTTCCCACCGGGATGAAATTGTCCGGATCGAGCGGGCTAAATAGGGATCCGGTCAAATTTACCACATACACAGTGGGAAAACGGACACTCCCTATCCGACTTGGTTCAGTTACGCCCTGCTTTTCAACGATGCACCTCGCGTCCCCGATCTTTTGTGTGGGAACGGCTGACCGGATTAGACCGGCATGGTTGACTCTGACCAGCTTGTTTGACTCTGAGCAGCTTGGTGACATCTTCCTTTATGTCTGTTATTCAGGAATCCACCCCAGATGACGTTCCTGACCAGGTGTACCAGACCCTGGTGCGGTGGAGAGAGAAGGCAGGTGAGGCGGCCACAATTCCCGCCCTGGAGCAGCACCTGAGAGACCTGGGCTTTCATCAGCTGGTGGGGCAGCTTGTATCGACACCCAGGGTGGGTTGATGATGTTATGTTTGCTTCAAACTTTTAACTTAGACAAAGATTACTTTTGAATTAACATTTATAGCGTTTCTATGTGTGAACCGATACCGGTAACCATTTGGCAACTATACATGTGTGAAATCGAGGGCGTTTCGCGTGTAGACCGAATATCTTACTAATGCTACACCTGCTAGCACAGCGAACTTTAATGTTGTTGTAAATATCCATGAAATAGATGGCACAATACTCAATCAAATTAATGCATATATACACAATACAGTTACTGTAAGTCATGCATCATTTTCAGACCCCACGTCGCAAGGGGCATGAACCAGTAGTTGGTGCCGTTGGTGGCCAAGAGGAAGATGAGCCGCCGAACAGGTACAAACTAAAAGCATAGTATTACGTTTTCATGGCTCTGCTTTACTTTTAATTTACATTATATTTTCTAGATTTGTCGTCACGTAAAATACCCATACTGTTGCCAACGTTATATTACCTCTTATTACCTCCCCCTCCCCCCAAAGCAGATACCCTAGTGTGACGGTTGACCGCAGGTTCCCCATTGTGGACTTTGAACGGCTGGAAAAACAGTCCATTCTCGGCCGTGGGGGGTTCGCCTACGTGATGAAAGCCCGGCATCTTGACTGGAGACAGGACGTGGCCGTCAAATGTCTGCTTACTCGAGAATTTGAAGGAAGGTCAGAGTTTCGTTTTCCTTTTCCTTTGGCTTTGAACGATATCTAATTATTACATCCAATTTACTTATAATCATTTTGATCTACGTATATTACACGGAACAACAGACAGTTAGTAATTGACCCAGTTTAGTATGCAACTTGAATTGTTTTCCATAAAGATAGCGATAACACTGATAACACACATGACAATGTTTCTTTACCCCTAAACAGTACACCGAGGGTCCGCGCGGACCCCAGCACTATATATTCAGTAATATCTTTTTTGTTTCTGAAGATTTTTTTCTGAAATTTTAGGTAATTGTCACCCACAAAGTTGTCTCTCAATACAGTGCAGAAAACTCCATTTCCACCATTTATAAAACAAATTATATTTGATTAACTTTTGGGGTCCGCGCGGACCCCAGCCGGGTTTCGATCATAATGGATACACTGGCGTTCTTATACATTACCTTATTTCCGTTTTTATATGTTTTTATGCACTCATCGTATGTCTACCGAGTTTTCAGAGAATGGTGTAGTAATAGAATTAAATTTTAATAACTTTGGTGTAATTATGACGTCATATGACGTCAGATCTAATAATATAGTCCGCCATATTGGATTTTGACCAATGACGTCATCAAATTAGCATATTCTATGCATATTAACCCTACCTAGACCGGGGTGGGGGGGGCTAAAAGTGCCCGCGGCAACTTTGATGTCACCTAGCGTCTGAACGGCTAGCCGTAGAACGGTCAAACTTGGTGACTTTTCCTAGAATATTGTTGGCAACAATTCTCTTTCATTGGAATAAGATAATAATTTTTTGTGTTGCCATGGCAACGGGTTTCTGACAGGCATTTTTTGCTAAATTTAGTATTTTTTGTTTCAACAATAGAATTTTATGGGTTTTATGTCAAGTTACTCATGGTTTATAATATTAATAACATCCCATATAATTTTATGTAAATTTTATCATTAAATATGCATAATTTATGCTAATTTAATGACGTCATTGGCCAAAATCCAAGATGGCGGACCATATCATTAGAACAGGTATATACAGGTTATTTTCATTAAAATTTCATCAATACTTCCATTTCTTTTTCCAAAAAATGTTTAAATGAAGGTCTTTAGTATGTTTACAATGTATTTCAGGCTTTATCATGAAAAAAAACTATTTTTGAAAATTCAAGATTGATGATCCAAGATGGCGGATATCTTAAATATGTATGACGTCATTTTATGACGTCACCGGTGTTGCTATGGGCAACATAAGACTTAGTACACCATAATATTCTGTCATGAACACTTTTGGTACAGGTATGTTGAATACCATTTAGTTTTCAGGGAAAAACCTATTTAGACGGTTTTGGCCAATAAAATCACATTAATGACGTCATAATGACGTCATATTACGTCATAACGACATAAAAATTGTAGATATGATAAATTTTTACTAGTACACCATTCTCTGAGAATTTGGTGGTCATACGACATACCGTTCGCGAGTTCTTAGGGGGGGTCAAAAGAGCTCCCCCCCGGTCCCCCCATGTCAAAAAAAAGCCCGGTCTAGGTAGGGTTAAATGATTTAACTTATATTTAATTATGTAAGATGTTATTAATGTTGGAAAAGAAGTGTAATTTAATATAAAACTCAGAAAAGTTTTATGTTTAAACCAAAATTACTTTTATTTAAAAAAATGCCTGCCAGAAACCCGTTGCCATGGCAACACAAAAAAACATCAACTTACTAGTATTAAACTAATATGAACTTTTTTCCAGAGACATTTTAGGAAAGGTCTCCAAATTTGATACTTCTAGCCTTAGCCGTTTAGCCGCTATCTGAGATCAAAGTTGGGCCTCAAAAGCCCCTTCAGTCTGAAATGGGTTTAAAAATCGGGTATTTCTTCTTGTCTTCTTTTCTTCACCAAAAACTAGAAAAAGTTCAAAATGTATGATTTTTGTATGTAATGTGGACACAGAGGTTCCCACATCAGTTTGCAAAACAATTGAGCTGGTAGCATGTTGATAATTTCTAAAAATTAGCAAAAAACTGCTCTGGGGTCCGCGCGGACCCCAGGTGTACAGATTAATCAGTCCGGGAAGGTGTTCTGTTGAGGGTTAATACGTCGGTGAAGGTTAGACATCCAGGTAATAAGATACGCGAAAAAAACAGCTACGCAAGCAACTGAGTATGATTTGTAAACGGTCAGACGTTTCAGGTAGCACCTTCTACTTTTCGTCAAAGACACTATTTATTTTTTATTTTATTTACTTATTTATTACAATTAACCACATACATAATATACATGGAGGGCATGGTTGAAGAGGTGCACCTAAGTGCCCCTTTTCAAGGCCACCATGCCCACAAAAGATATTGTGCAGAAATGCAGGTTTATAAGCAAGAACTAGCATCATGCTTCTAAACCTACATTCCTAAAATTTCTCTAGTGTCCTTGACGAAAGGTTACCTGTCCGTAGTAGATGCTACCTGAAACGTCGAACCGTTTCCACATATCCAGTTGCTTGGGTAACTGTTACTTCTTTTTGTGCGTTAAGTGAGCAAGAACAGGTGTACTCTGAGGCAAGGAAACTGAACCTGGGAAGCCGCTCAGACCACGTCATCAGTCTGCTGGGGGTCTGTCTGGATCCAAACATCGCCATCGTGATGCCCTACATGGAGAACGGCTCTCTGGCCGGGCTACTGCAGGATGTGGACGTGCCCTGGGCCCTGAGGTGGAGAATGGCGCACGAGATCTCCCTGGGGATGACTTTCCTGCACTGCCAGAACCCGCAGATCATCCACTGTGATCTGAAGGCAGAGAACGTGCTACTGGATGGGGACTTTCACGTGAAGGTACACGACTTACAACTGTATTTATATTTTAATTGACTATGTTGCAAGAATCGCCGTTGACTTACATTTGTTTATACAATACTGAACAAAGTTCTATTAGGGGCATCGGTTTTACGTTATCATAGCAATTGCACAATTTTCTTTCCTAGAGTGAAACAAAACACTGCATCTGAATAAAGGGTTCACTCCAAACAGGATAAAGTTTCTTGTACACCGTTAATTTTCATATCTTCTTTTAAATCAGATTTCAGACTTTGGTTTGTCCAAGTGGAAGGCCAAATCTCGGGTCGTCACTAAAACAAGCCCGGGAGGTGGCACAATCACGCATGCGCCACCGGAGTACTTCGCTGACATCAACCTCGCTCCAACCACTAAGTTTGATGTGTACAGGTACAAAATAATGAAACGTTACAGAAATACTAAAATTTTGGAAGAATATTCCTTTTGAAACCACGCCAAAATTTGATAGGTCAAAACATTTATTGCAGCCACTTACTAAGATGCCATTCACAACCGGTACAGTCCTGAAGAGGAATCAATGTTTCAAAGATAAACTTTTGGAATCAGATTTTTTCGTGATTTTGTTCCTCCATTTCATGTTGGTGAAGGCTTCCTTGTTTTACATGTATTTATTTCATGCTCATATTTGATGAATTGATGTACATGTCATTTGGTTTCAGTTTTGGTGTGATGCTGTCGGCGATTGTTACCAGAGAGCAACCATATGCACGTGAGTGAAGTTCATGATTTAAAGAGGGATTAATGCCCCGCATTATCGTCGGTGTATATGGTGAGATTATCCCTGATCAGGTGCCATAACCATGGAATAAACCGAATTGATGCGGTGGTTATCGTACCTGACCGGGGATTATCTCACCATATACACCGAGGATAAAACGGGGCATTAACGTTATTATCAAATAACCTATCCAACTGACATAACATTTGACACAGATTCCTTTCTCAAGTCCCCCATGGCTAAAAAGAACTCTCACATTATATTTTACGTAAAACAAGATGGTGTGAACAGAAAAACAGTGATCACGTGAAATCGGAACAATAGCACTTTTAAAGATTATGTTTAGACAATTTCTATTTATATTTCACTAATATAATTTGTAATGTGTTGTATTTCTAGATACAGTATTCAAAATAAATTAAAATCCGTTTTAATGGATAAATACCACACATCTTAACACTAGTTTTAGTGCCCTGTCATCTATATAATGCTACGGTCAAAAACGTTGAGGTTAAGGCCTAATAACCAATTGAGCCTTCTGATTGGTCAATGTCTTCTGGCTATGTAACGATACTTTTTAATTCCCTAAGGGATTCCACATTTTGCTTTAGTGCAGATTTTTTTCTTGTGACTTTTCGTTACTATCTATGTGTATTACCAGTTGTTGTCAATTCCGCCCTGATCTCCGTGGCGGTCACCACGGGTCAACGACCTGACCTGAGGCTGATCCCCACAGACCGGGAGGACGTGACGTCAGTGAGCGAACTGATGCAAAAATGCTGGAGTCAGAACCCGGAGGACAGGCCGGAATTCAATGGTGAGGATAGCTGCATGTTGTAGTAAGACATCTGTGTCTATCCTGATAATACAGGGTATTTTGAGCTTTAATGCTAGCAAAGGAAGTTAACAATCGGAAATATTTGTGCCTTGTTTATCGTTGCTAAGAAGGACCATATCTTTTTGCAGAACGCCTTGATACACATAACAACTGTAGCATTTTGTGTTATTTAGTACTGAGCTTCATTTGTATTTGAAACAATCAACCAATCAATTAATCAATCAATCAATCAATCAACTTTATTAATCAAGAACTTTAACTGGTACAATTTTTGGCAAAGAAGAAACAACAAGTGTAGATACATAGCTATACTAAAATATAATTTTTAACAGAACTAATCCACAATGTCTGACATTTGACAATGATACTAAAGCTAATCTATTGTATGTTTTCTTTAGGAAGTATTACATTCTATAATTCATGAGATATGTCCGTTATTACATGACCTTACCAAAAAATTCAAAGAAAAAACAACAGGCCTTCTTTGAACATCAGTCGTTACCGTATTCTTCTTTTATACGGTAACCATGGATGTTGCTGCTCCAGTACTCCAGTACAATACAGAAACATTGTGAATATTATTAGTTAAGAAACATGCCTTGAATTCTGTGTCTCTCTCCTGTGTAGACTGTGCTAAACAACTCCAGAACATGTTTAACCTGGAGGAGATTCGACAGGCCATTATCACTGTGGACAAGCTGAAGGTACAACACTCACTTCAAACATCAGAAGATAGAGTTTGCACTTTTATTTCCTTTCTAAATTTTATGTAATGATAAAATACAATCAGTTTAGGATATGCAACTATTAGGCAACGCTGTTGATTTCAGAATGAAAAGATAACATTGCAGCAGCATAATAGACACAAATAGACTTGTGACTTGAGAATGAAGTACTTATAATTGTTGTGTAAATAAAATAGAGTACTAACTCTTTTTTCTATGCTTTACCACAGGCTACAGTCAACACGAAGTAATATTACAGATAACTGGCATGTACAACGATTCTTCTGTCACTGTATAATCAAGTATAATGTATGCTGTAGACCGTCTCCCGAAAAGAGCCAGAGGATGACGTCTAGACTCGTGGACGAGTGATCTTGTTTGCTAGGTAGTTTCCACAACCGATATTCACCTACACAATATCATCAATTATTAGTTTTTTATAAATAATATCATTATTTGTGAAATGTCACAGTTTCATGTAGATGGTTTTATCACATCACTGGTACCATTGGAGTATCTACAAACAAATATTTTTTTTATATTTATTATACACAGTTATCAGTGTAGGTATCGAAGTACACCATCAGGCACAAAACGTAAATATTGATTTATATCACCAAGTTCTTATTACCCCATGGTACATTAAGTTAAGCGTTTGGTGTGACAAGATGTTAAACAAATCGAATAACATCATGAGGATCTCAACATAACAATTTAAGTTGTAAATTATTCCATCGGTTTGCTACCATTACAGAAACATGACATTGACTTTGGAACACTTCGCTAACAATCAGAACATATGCTGATTGGACATTGTCAGACATAGAGATCTTAAAGCTTACTTATTGGTGGAGGTATAGTTATGTTACAAGCCATACTGTACATACAAACCACAAAACCATCTGGAAAAAGAATAGGTTGATTGAAATCACAAACAGAGACTATTAGTAACATTGCGTAACGTTGATGTAATTTTTGTAGTCAATCCAAGTACGATGTGATTTCAATCATACGTGCAAAGTGTTCTGCAATGTCATAAAGATCAGAATAATGTGCAAGTGTGGTTCAAGATCATTATTGAATGACTTGATTACCAACCATGGTAAATTTGACCCCAAGTTTTTAACGACCCAGTTAAATGAACCATGGTTTGTTCTGAAAAGGCCCTGACAGTCGGTCCGTGTTTTCAAGATAGTGGAGCGTTGTTCATTGCAAATGCTTCTGTGTGTGGATGGTGTTCAGCACCAAGGACAGGAGTGTTCACCTGTGTGTGAATGGTGTTCAGCACCAAGGACAGGAGTGTTCACTTGTGTGTGAATGGTGTTCAGCATGAAGGACAGGAGTGTTTTCCTGTGTGTGGATGGTGTTCAGCACCAGGGACAAGAGTGTTTTCCTGTGTGTGGATGGTGTTCAGCACCAAGGGCAGGGGTGTTTTACTGTGTGTGGATGCTGTTCAGCACCAATGACAGGGGTGTTTTACTGTGTGTGGATGGTGTTCAGCACCAATGGCAGGAGTGTTTTCCTGTGTGTGGATAGTTTCAGCACCAAGGACAGGGGTGTTTATCCTGTGTATGGATGGTGTTCAGCACCAAGGACAGGAGTGTTTTCCTGTGTGTGGATGGTATTCAGCACCAATGGCAGGAGTGTTTCCTGTGTGTGGATGGTGTTCAGCACCAAGGACAGGAGTGTTTTTCCTGTGTTTGAATGGTGTTATGCACAAAGGACAGGAGTGCTTTCCTGTGTGTAGATGCTGTTCAGCACCAAGGACAGGTGTGTTTTTCCTGTGTGTGGATGATGTTAAGCACCAATGGACAGGAGTGTTTCCTGTGTGGGAATGCTGTTAGGCACCAAGGACAGGAGTGTTTCCTGTGAGTGGATGCTGTTCAGCACCAATGGCAGGAGTGTTTTCCTGTGTGTGGATAGTGTTCAGCAACAAGGACAGGAGTGTTTTCCTGTGTGTGGATGGTGTTCAGCACCAAGGACAGGTGTGTTTTCCTGTGTTTGAATTGTGTTATGCACAAAGGACAGGAGTGCTTTCCTGTGTGTAGATGCTGTTCAGCACCAAGGACAGGTGTGTTTTCCTGTGTGTGGATGGTGTTAAGCACCAAGGACAGGAGTGTTCACTTGTGTGTGAATGGTGTTCAGCATGAAGGACAGGAGTGTTTTCCTGTGTGTGGATGGTGTTCAGCACCAAGGACAGGAGTGTTCACCTGTGTGTGAATGGTGTTCAGCACCAAGGACAGGGGTGTTTTCCTGTGTGTGGATGGTGTTCAGCACCAAGGACAGGAGTGTTTTCCTGTGTCTGAATGGTGCTCAGCACCAAGGACAGGAGTGTTCACTTGTGTGTGAATGGTGTTCAGCACCAAGGACAGGGGTGTTTTCCTGTGTTTGGATGGTGTTCAGCACCAAGGACAGGGGTGTTTTCCTGTGTTTAGATGATGTTCAGCACCATGGACAGGGGTGTTTTCCTGTGTTTGGATGGTGTTCAGCACCAAGGACAGGGGTGTTTTCCTGTGTGTGGATGTGTTCAGCGCGTATCGCTTGGCTTTTGCTCAGCAGGTAAATTAGGCAGGGTCATTTCTCGGTCTTTCGCTGCTCTTCCTGTACTTCTACATACGCCAATTTCTTTTATTGCATGCTTTTTTTTACTTTTCTCCCTCAGTTATTTTACTACATGAAAGCTTTA